TTTGTGTGAACTAATATAAATTCAAAGTAAACATCATTACATAAAAGGGTACGGTCTTTTTTTTTTTTTTTTAGTTTTATTCATTTCAAACGGGCCGGATCCGGCCCGCGGGCTGTAGTTTGCCCACGGCTGCCCTAGACCATCGGAAAACACATATATAATTACATATTGTTTTTGTGATTAATCACTATGCTTTAATTATGTTCAATTTGTAACAGTGAAACTACCTGGCAGGTGTGATGGCAGCTCACACTCATGTGCACACAGGGGCAGGTGCCATACTAGGCCTGCATGTCAGATATTACATTACGACTCATAACAGTAGCAAAATTACAGTTATGAAGTAGCAATGAAAATAATTTTATGGTTGGGGGTCACCACAACATGAACTGTATTAAAGGGTCGCGGCATTAGGAAGGTTGAGAACCACTGATGTAGATGCTGTGCTTGAATGGGTTGTTTTCGCTTGTATCTGAGAGAAATAATCAGCTTAGGAGCCAGCATAATGGGTGTGTTCTGAATGAAGGTGCCGAGCACGGAAGGGGCAGCGGGGCAAGTCTGACCGGTCACTCTGGAACCCTGGACAGGTGGGTGCGCTGAACACGGACCCTCCGCCCCAGAGCCATCTCCAACGGGGCCTCATCCTGGACCTCTGACCTCCAACCCTTTTATACTCACCCTGTTCATCTTAATAATGAAACACGGCTTTCCTTCCTCAAAGCCGAAGTTGGGGTCCTCCAGGCCTGAGCAGTTTTGCAGCATGTCTGTGGTGAACTTGCAGGAGAACTTGGTGTGATTCGGAGCCCCGAAGCTTTCTTGGATGAACACCTTGTCGGAGGTGCAGTTGATGTTGTCCTCCTGGGCCGCTGGTGAGTAGCCTGCCAGCACAGACACAGCTGTGGGCCCTCTCTCCACGCGGCCACCTGGGGCTGTTAGTGACATGTTCTTAGAAAAGGAGAAAGAAAGGCTGTGGGAGCGTTTTCAACCTTACCTTCCAGGAAATCGTGGAGGGTGTGCACTAGGTCTGTCCAGGTCCCGTTGTCAGAGATATTGTAGGAAATGTCCAGGCCTTCATCCCCGTAGACGTCTGGCCTCAAGGTCACCCCTGGAAAGAGAGCCTGACACTAGTTTCTCCAAATGTTCATCACATCCAAGCTGGTGGCTGCCGAGTTGGTGAGCTGTGTGCAGAGCTGTCCCAGGTGGGATGCCGCGGGACCAGCAGGGTCCAGGTCTTCAAGGGCAGCCAGGCCAGGAGGCCACGGTCAGGTGTCCTCCGCGCTAGCTGCTCAGGGAGGACCCTGCCCTCCGGCCTGGGAGCCTCACGGAGGAACGAGCCTGTCTGGGTGCAGGGTGTGGTGCGGCTGAAGGCTGGGTGGGCTCTTCCCGCACACGAGGCCTGCACCAGTGCCACCCAGGGGGCCACACTCATTGTTGCAGGTGACAGCTCGCCCTGGGTCGACTGGATTTCTTACTGAAGTTGTAGTTGGTGCATATTTGCAAGATCTCCACTGGTGTTGGTTAAACGCGAATGCGTTCTAACAACACGAATTATAAAAATAACTGCACAAGTGCCGGAAGTTGAAGTGCCAGCCCTCAGTTTTCTCCGTCTCAGGTCTAGTGTGCATCCTTAGGAAGCGTCCTTGTTTCTGTGAGTACAAAGATACGTGTTTCTTCAGATAAGTGGGAGCCTGTTTTCCACACGCCACTGTCCTCTCTTCCTGTTCCGACAGCAGTTGTACCCACTTTTCCCTGGCATTTCATATCAGCTCACCTCTTTCTGTCCACAAATACCACATCGCGCCTGGTTGTGTGGGTGTTTTACGACTTATTTAGCCAGTTCCCTGATTGTACAGGTGACTTTTAAAATAAGTAAGCTAGCTCTGGCCGGTTTGCTCAGTGGTTAGAGCGTTGGCTTGTGGGCCAAAGGGTCTTGGGTTTGAGTCCCAGTCCAGGGCACGTACGTTGGTGGCAGGTTCCCCAGCCCCGGTAGGCGCTTATGCAGGAGGCAACCAATTGATGTGTCGCTCTCACATCCATGCTTGTTTTTTTCTCTCTCCCTCCCCGTTCCCGCCACTCTCTCTAGAAATCAATGGGAAAAAAACATCCTTGGGTGAGGATTAAAAAAAGTAAGCTAGGGTTTTTGTTGTTTTATGGATATTGTGAAAGTAACAGTTGTACATGGTTTAAAACACAAACCTCCAGAAAGGTCTAAAGGAGAAGAAAGCTCTCCACTCCCCGCTCTCAACTATTCACTCGGAGCGTGCTCTCAGGTTCTCACGGGACTTGTTCATCAGCTTCACCTGGCAGCTGTTGCCCCTTCCCCGCCTCCCCGTGACCAGGGGAACACATCTCGCCTGCCTTCCAGCCTCAGGGTTTTGAGCAAATTATGCTATGGTTATGTTCTCAAGTTTGTAACATGTTACATTCTGCTCTGAAATTATAATGAAATCCTCTATGCTTCATCTGTTGGTTAATGCTAAAATTTGACACCCAACAAAGCACTTTGGTGTTATTATTTATGGACAGATTCACTGAAGATCCCAGCAGGAGGGCTGGACCCGCTCAGCTCACCTGCTGGAGACCGTCTGAGGCAGCTTCTCTTAAAAAACGTGTGAATTTTCTTTTCCTACGTGCTGCGTGTGTTGCATGTTCCTGGGGGCATTATCTTCCTGAGAAAGTTAGGGATGTGTGAGCGATAAACATTCTGAGTTACTGTGCGCTTCATTTCTTCCGTTCTCCTCCCTCCCTTTTCTTTATGCTTTTTTTTTTTTTTTTTTTAAGTCACCTTTGGTTAATGGGTGGGGTGTGGAAGTCTTGGCTCAAATCACCTTCGCCAGGACTGTGGAGGGGACGCCTCACTGTCTCGAGCCCTTGAGTCTTGTCACCAATGACCCATCTGGTGCCAACTCAGGAGAGTGGAGGTTCAGCCCACTGCCGGTCCACCTTCCACCTCAGAGGACGGTAGACTGACTGCACTTGGAGAAGACTCGTGTTCTGGATTGAATTGCTATTCTGGATTGAAGTACTGACGGACTCGAAGTGGAAACCAAAGCTCTTTCCTTCCCTAAATCCTTCATTCCTGTCTCTCTAGGAACAGTCTTTTGCATATCCTGCCATTATGTCTGCTGTGCGTGTAGGCCCATACAAAGTAAGTGGTATAAAGACTCGGTCACAAAAACCTCTGTTTTAATAATTACAACTAAAGCCAGAGCCAGACTTCATAATCTGGGGGCCGCCGCCTCATCAAAAGAAGCCGAGGGGCTGTCCGTACTCGGGTGTACCCCTCAAAGCCCCGTGGCTGCTGGTGGGAGGAGCAGAGGCCCCTGCTGGGTGCCCCTGGGGGCTTCATTCCCTGAGAGTTTATGCTCTGACTGAGCACCTCCGGGACTGCGAATCGCCCTGACCTGCGTGGGGTCCTGATGTGCAGGCTCGAGCATCGCCCCCCACCCCCGCATTACCTGGTGACTTCAGCTGGTCTTGGTAGTCAGGCGTGTACGGGTCGAGCGTGCACATCAGCGAGTAGATGCACAGAGCAAAGAGTCCGGTCATCACCACGTAGAAGGCCACGTAATAGAGGCTGATCCACACTGCAGGGAGAGGCCCGTCAGACGCAGCTGCACACTTCCTCATCGTGGTCGGACCCCCACGGAACCCCACCTCTTCACCCGTCTTGGAGTGAAAACCTCAGTGCATCTACACACAACGCTGTGCAAGCATCACCTCTATCTAGTTCTAGAACATGCTCATTGCTCCAAAGAAACCCCATACCCCTTGACTTCAAGTCTTTTTAAAAATTGTGAAGTTTAGGAATAATAACTATAAACTGCTATTCTCCAATCTAAGCCTGAAACTTTGGGGCCAGTCAATCCTCAGATGTTCCCACCGTGTGGGTGCCTGGTGCCAGGGGGCATAAGAGCTGAAATGGGCCTCTGAGGTCACCTGGTGAGGAAGGTGAGGCCTGGCCAGAAGCCTGGGCGGGCCTGGGTTTTGGGAACCTGGACCCCCAGCCCCAGGCAGCTGGTGGTGGGCCTCTGCCACTCCTCTCAGATCTGCCCCGCCTTGCCCTGCCTGGCCGGACACATACCCCACCGGGACAGGGTCCGGCCCAGCATCTGCCCCGTGTCCGGGTTCCAGCAGTAGCGCTGGAATTCCTCCATCCTCTGGCTGCACGACTTCTTCTCCTGCAACGCCGCCATCCTCCCTGCTTCTGAGAGTCCCCCTTGTGCAGAAGAGACTGAGAGGAGAAAATCCACCCCTGGGTTTTATAGTCTCCTTCAGAGGTCAGAGGCGCACCCAGCAGTGTTATCAGGCCTCGCTGTCCAAACACCAGCGGCTCCATGCGCTCTGCAGTCCCCCTGCTATCAGGTGCCCTCCACCTCTCCCCTGGGCAAGTCAGGGCTGCCCCCTCCTTCTGGGATGCCCTTGGCCGTAACTTTGTTATGATAACGACTAAGGAGAAATACTTTCCTGAACAGCCACTTGTTCAGCTCAGGCCCCATTCTTTCACTTCCTCCAGGAGGAAGGAAGGAAGGTCAGCACAAGGACAGGCCTGGACCTGCCACTCCGGCCGCTCGGACACTTCCTGGTCTGAGATGATGGGCAGCGGGTGGCCGATGTCATGGTATTGCAGTTGCTGGGGCTCTGTGAGTGGCTCCAGACGCCGGCATTGTGAAAACGCCAGAATAGACGGAGGCTAGAAGTTCTGTTCCAGAGGAGAGGGTTCAGAGGGCTCCCAGGTCCCTTCCCCTCCCGTTGCCCCTGATGCCCAGTTTCAGCCGTGAGGATGATTCCCTGAGACGAGTGCCGTGGGGACTGGGGCTCTTCAGGACTTTCTGTGTTCCTGGGGGAATTTACGGCCATACAATCTAGGGGTATTTTCAAAACCGAATGCAAACCACACCCCAGGCAACTACTTGAAATGCAGATTCTGACCCAGTGGGGACCCAGTGGGCCGAGGAGCTCCTGGTGAGCTGTGATTAAGGCTGCAGGACCAAGCAATGTCCAGGTGGGGGACGCTTTGCCTGGTAGCACATTGGAGTCAGCTGGAGCACCTTGAAAACTCCTGACGCTTGCCTCACCCCGGAGTTGGGGCATCTGCCTACACTTTCAGAGCGTGCCATGGAAAAGCACCCTCTACCAGTGTCCCTATCCCTTCCTCTCCTCCCTAAGGCACGTGTCCAGTAAAGGTCATTTTGATGTGTGTGCTGTTCAGCACGTGCATTCATGTTTGGGGGAATTCAGAGACTAAGTGGGGAAGACTTAGTTCAAAGACTTCCAAGAAACAGTTCGTATTTTGCTCATTTCAAGAGCATCTCTATACTTCACAGACAAGGGCAGCGTTTATTCTGTGGGCAACAGTTGCGGCACTTAGGGCCCTGGCACTCGGGGTCCCAGATCCCCAGGTGTGGACAATTATAAAATTAGGAGTCCTAGTTAAACCAAACGGCCGGGTGACCTGAGCTTCTGAGAGCCCCCCAGATTCATCTTGATGTGTGACCAGAGCCACTGGTCCAGAGACCGTAGTGGGTAGAGACATAGCTGGGGCCATGCCAGCTGCTCACTGGGGCATCATCTCTGCAGTTAGGTTGAAAGGGCAATGTCAGGCAAATATGATGTGCCACAGAGGCCTTTCTACAAGTATTTCCATCAAAATCCAATGAAAATAATGGGTATTGCACACAAAGACCTGGAATTTCATTCACTGTCACTTATAAATTTTCCTTCTAAGGGACCCATGTAGCCAAGTTAGATTTCTTTTGGAAGAAGAATAATGAAAACCCTATAGGCATTATTCTGCTTGTTTTCTCAGAGATGATTTAGAGTTTATCAGAGAAGAATGAGCACCCTACAATTCAGAAGGAACCGCACTATTTTAGCTAGGTCTCCTAATTTTATAATTGTCCACAGCTTGGGGGTCTGGGACCCCGACTGCCAGGGCCCTAAGGTAAGTGCAGTAACTGTTGCCCACGGAATAAACGCTGCCCTTGTCTGTGAAGTATAGAGATGCTCTTGAAATGAGCAAAATACGAACTGTTTCTTGGAAGTCTTTGAACTAAGTCTTCCCCACTTAGTCTCTGAATTCCCCCAAACATGAATGCACGTGCTGAACAGCACACACATCAAAATGACCTTTACTGGACACGTGCCTTAGGGAGGAGAGGAAGGGAGAGGGACGCTGGTAGAGGGTGCTTTTCCATGGCATGCTCTGAAAGTGTAGGCAGATGCCCCAACGAGTGGGCTCCAGACCAAGTGGGGAGCACCCCCCAGGTTCCCACGTGGGAAGCCTAGACGTCTACCCGCTCCTGGCAGTAATGAGGTGGAGCCCAACTCCCTTCTACTGATTGACTGGAGTCAGAAACAGCCCGCTAAAACTGAAGGAGTAAATAATAGGAAAATGTTACATTTCAATTGATAATCACACATCATACCAAGGACCAGGAAGCTTGCAAAATGAATTAAAACAAGAAAATTGTTGAATGCCAACATTGAGGTGACAGAAATGTTGGAATTACCTGACTGATTTTAAAGCACCTATGATAAAATGGCTTCAGGGGGCAATTATGGACATGCTTGAAACAAATGAAAAAAATAGAAAGCCTCTGCAAATAAAAAGTTTAAGGGAAGAAATAAGATACATACAAAGAAGAACCAAATGAAAATTTTAGATGAAAAAATACATTAACCAAAATAAAAAGCTCAAAGAATGGGTTCCACAGCAGAAGGGAGGGGGCAGAGGAAAGAAAAACCAATAGAAACATGGAAGAAAACGCGATAGAAACTACCTGATCTGAACAATAGGGAGAATGTAAGCTTGAGTAAAACAGCACAGAGCCTCAGGTATAGGGGGAACTGAAATAAGAATCTAACATCCATGTCATCAGAGCTCTGGAAGGAGAGAAGTAAGAGGGCAGGGCTGAAAACTACTCAAAGAAATAATGACTGAAAACTCCCTAAAATTTGGCAAAAGACATCAACTTACAAATTCAAGAAGCTGAGCAAACAGATAACCGTGACCTCCAAAATCTACACCAAGATGCATCATAATTAAACTTCTCAAAATTAAAGACACACACAAAATCTAGAGACAGACATTGTATGATAATAAATGGCCAATCCACCAAGAAGATACAGCAATCCTACATGTATATGCACCAAACAAGAGAGCTAGAAAATATGTAAAGCAAACTGATAGAACTGAAAGGAGAAATAAGCAAATCCACATTTTTAGTTAGAGACTTCAACATTCCTCTCTTAACAACTGACAGAACAACTAAATAGGAAATCATCACAGATATGGAAGAGCTCAATAACATCGTCAACCATCAGTGTTGTTGGCCTCGGTAGAATAATCCACCGATCACAGCAGAATATACTTTCTCTTTATGTGTTCATGGAACATTTGCCAAGATAGACCATATCCTAGGGCTAGGCCATAAAACAAAGCTCAACAAATTTGAAAAAGAAAATGAAATAATGCAGAATGGGTTCTACAATCCTAATGGAATCAAACTAGAAACTAATAACAGAAAGATAACAGAAAACGCTCCAAACATGTGAAAACTAAACAATACACTTCTAAGTAATATATGAGTAAAAAAGGAAGCCTCGAGGGAAATTTCAAGAAATACATGGAGCTGAATGAATGCTACAGCAGTGTTCACAGGAAAATTTATAGCACTAAGTTAATATATTAGAAAAGAGGAAAAGCCTCAAATCAATAATCTAAGTTTTCACTTCAAAAACCTAGAAAAAGAGGGAGGAAAGCAAACAGGAGGAAGAAATAAAAGATGAGCAGAAACCAGTGAAATTAAAAACAAAAGAGAAAATCAGTAAAACTACAAAGAACTGGGTCTTTCAAAAGACCAATAAAGTCAGCAGAACTATTGCAAGAGAGAAGGAAGACATAAATAATTAACACCAGAAATGGAATGAGATATCACTACAGACCCTGAAGACTTCAAAAAGATAATAAGGGAGTACCATATACAACTCTACATATGTAAACTCGACAACTTAGATGAAATGGACCTGTCCTCCATGCACATAACTCATTCAATTTGAAATAGATAATTTGAATAGCCATATAACTAGTAAGGAAATTGATTTTATAATTTAAAACCTCCCAATTCACTGGAAAATTTTACCAAACATTTAGTGAAGAATTACAAATTATATACTATATCTTCTAGAAAATAGAAGAGAAGAAAGCATTTCCCAACTGATTTTATGACATGTATTACTCTTATACCAAAATCAGATAAAGACAGTACAAAAATAGAAAACTACAGAACAATATTCCTCACAAATATAGACAGAAATAGCTACAGCAATCAAGATGGTTCGGTATTGGTGGACGGATAGACACAGAGACCAATGGAACAGAATAGGAAGCCCAGAAACAGAACCACGCTAATTTGCCCAACTGATTTTTGAACTGCAAAAACAATTCAACGAGGCATAGATAGCCTTTTCAACAGGTGAAGCTGGAGCAATTGAACAACTACTGGCAGAAAATGAACCGTGACCGAAGTCTCACATGTAAAAAACTTAACTTAAAATTGATCATGGATTTAAAAGTGTAAAACTTGTTGAGTGGGAAGGTTGAATTTGGGAGAGGATGAAAAAAGAAACATAAAGAGTTTTTAGACTCGACACCAAAAGCATGATTCATAAAAGGAAAAATTGATTGCACTTCAACGAAATAAAAAAAAGCTTTTGTTCTATGAAAGCCCATGTAAAGGGAATGAAAAGACAAGCAAAAAATGGAAAGAAGCATTTGAAAACCACAAGTCCAACAAAGGATCTAAGATAGATAAACAACACTCAAAACTCAACAATAAACAAGCAAACAATTCAGTTAGAACATGGTTGAAAGACATGAAGAGACAGCTCACCAAACAGATTGCAAATAAGCACTTGGAAAGATGTTCAATATTACTAGCCACGAGGGAAACGCAAATTAAAACCACAACGAAATCCCACTACACACCTATCAGAATAGCTAAAATAAAAAATAGTGACACCACCAAAAGCTGGGGAGAATGCTCAGAAGCCTTATTGCTCATATGTGGTTGGTAGGGATGTAAAATGGTACAGCCATTCTGGAAAAAGATTACCCGTTTCTTAAAAAAAACTAAACATGCAATTAGTTACCATGTGACTCAAGAATTATACTCTTGGGCATTAATCCCAGAGA